CCATTAAGAATTCTTGATCTGAAAGAGAAATTGGAAGCTGCGCAATATGAATCCAAGCTCATCGGTCTGCACACGACTAACCCTGTGAATGGCAAGCTTAGTGAGAAGAGGAACAATTTATATAAATCCACTCCATCATTCAAAGGTTCGAGATATTCAGAAAAAAAATAGTTCTTGCCATTTAGCAAGTAAAGGAAAATCTGCTTCGCTTGCAATACCATCCAAAACCAATGTTCAGAACAGAGATATGCCGACTTTGAATGGTAATAGGGAATGTATGAAGCAGAATGAGAAAAAATCAAACCAATTATCCAGGAGCCAGAAGAAACAAATTACAGACCGAGCCAGGGTCGTGCAACAGAGGGCTTGTACTGGCCAGAATAGCAATGAACTTGGGCAGAATACAACAAACCCCTTTTATTTCCCATTTGAGTTCCTTGGTTGTTCTTATTGCTGCTCTTGAATTGGTACGAACCTATGATTCCCATTTGGATACATTTGTGGTTGCTCTTGAATTGGTCCCAGTTTTTGCCCATTTGATTGCTTTTGTTGAGGCTGTATTGGGGGGTAAAATGTTGCTCTTGAATTGGTACTAACCTGTACTAAAAAAAAGAAGTAAAGGGTAGGTGATTCAAAAAAATTTAAAAACAGGGATATTTTCGTAATTTTCACTTATTTCCCCATCTATATTTTACCTCAAATCAAATACAGACTTTATAAATCTTACCTAATTTGCCCGGTAAAATTTTTTCCAATCAAACAACTTTTTTTACATTTTCTTACAAAACTCATTTTCTAACAATTTTCCTATCAAATACATTTTCCTAGTATTCAAAAAAAATTTCTTCAACCAAACGCCCCTAGAGTCTTAAAATTTTTAGAGAAAACTCAACGACCAGAGTCAGAAGGAAACAAAATAAATTGAGAGTAACGAAAGTTGATAATAAGAAATAAAAAGTAAATATTAATGGTGACGATAACTTTTTTTATTTTAAAATATAAATCCCATGGTATTATTTTTTTGCTATCTTGTTTTATTTTTCCTCTTTTTCCCTAGCTAGTTCCGATGAGATAACACATTCCAATTTCTTTTATGTTTTTTATAATTCAGCAATTTATATTTTAATAAGTTATAATTATATACATACATTTATTTATTAATTTATATTTTTGCAAATTAAATTTCAGCAACTTGTATTTTTGAAATTCAAATTTAGTAATTTATATTAAAAGAATTTATATTTCATCAATTTACATTTCAATAGTTTATATTTTCTCATTTTATAATTATAAATGTAAATATATATTAAATTATAATTCAATAATTAGTATTTTAGTAATTTGTATTTTTTTCTTATTATAATTATATATATGGGTTTGGTGTTTGTCATTTTAAATGACATAAATTATGTCATTTTAAAAGAGAGATAGACACAAGGAATGAAAATCATGGGAGAGAAAGCGTGTGGTTTTTTTAATTTAAATTTTAAATAAAAAAATATTTTTTGTGCCTCTCTCTCTCTTAAAATGACATAACTTTATACTTTTATATATATATATATATATATATATATATAATATATTCTAATTTATATTTAAGAAAATTTAGCAAATTATAATTATTGTATATCTGTATAGTAACTTATACGTGAATAATATCTTATATGTGATAAATCCATACATGTATTCTATGAAGCACCGACACTTCAAAAATCCTAACGTGTCGCCGACACCTCTTGACACTCTCCGACACTCCCCGACACTCCAACACGCGTTATAGAAATTCAAAAAAAGATTTAAAAGTTGTGTTGCGTTGAGTTTCTAGTTCCAACTATTAGATTCGTTGGATTACGATTACCATTTTATTGAATTTAAAATAAATATTTGGGATATCTTATGTTTCTTTGCAAAATTTATGAATATTATAAGTTTAGTTTCATTTTTTTGTTAAATTATTGAATATTAAATATAATATAACTAGATAAATAAAAAATATTGTTTGATATCAAAACGTGTCTTAATGTGTCCAAATCTAACATTTTTTAGAATTAACGTGTCAGAGTGTCGTGTCGTATCGTGTCACGTGTCCGTGTCCCGTGTCAGTATCGGTGCTACATAGCTTGTATTCAGTATATACTTTTTTATTTAGACTATTTTATTTTATTTTTAATTTTAGTTTTTTCTATATTTTTAACATATTTAGTCGTATTCTTATATTATTTTTTTATCCTTATTCTATTTTTTATTTAGGCACATTCGATTTTTTTTTCTTTTAGTCTTTTATTAAGTATTTTTGGTTTTCATAATATTTAATTTTTTTTATATCTTTATTTTCTTTTTTTCTTTTTTTTTTGATAACATTAAGGGGCGAAGCCCCAAACAAAAACAAACAAACAACCGGAAACAAAAAATAACTATCCAGGGTCTATATCCCTACAAGAGGAGATTCCCTGAAGATCGTGATCAAATAACTGAGCAAGGTGAAACTGCATAATTCTATGACTCCAGAATCCAGTATCTTTGTGAAGAGCAGACTTGGCTAACCAATCTGCACAGGAATTAGCTTCTATTGGAATATGAGAAAGCGTTACCTCCCAATCCTGACCGATGAGTGCTTGTATCTTAGCCACTATACGAGGCTGACAAGCTGCATTGCAATCAGCAAGCAAAGAGAATACTTCAGAAGCATCTCCTTCTAGTTCCACCTTCTTAAATCCCAGTTGCCAAACCACTTCCAGACCTTTTAGAGTTCCCCAAAGCTCCGTCATTAAAGGAGTGCAAGCACCAATATGATACTCAAAGCCTCCCAATCAAGAGCCATCATCAGATCTGATAATCCCACCACAAGCAGCCACCTCAGTATTCCTTTCAACTGCCCCATCAATATTAATCTTCACCCAATTTAGCCTTGGAGGTTTCCATAAACTCATACGAGTTGGATGAATGCTAGTAGTAGCCATAGCCTTCCTACCCATGCAGTTACGAACTTCCTCTATATACATAGCAATTATGTGCGTTCCATGGGTCTAGTAAGTATATTTAGTTAAATTTCTCATAGTGTTAAAAAGGAGGTGGATGGAATCCACTAGGGCTAGCCTAGTGGTGTGGGTGTGTAATAGGGTGTGTGTGAGTGTGTGGTTGTGTGTTCTATTCTCTATAATCTACACAAAAAAAAGGAGGTGGATGGAAAAAACTACAAAAGATTAAGTTATTGAAAAAAAAACATAGGGTGTAAGTAATTCATACCAATAACACCTAAGGTTTTTGAACTTTTTCCTAAAAATTAATGGAAAGTATATATTTACCACCAATTAAGTTTATCATTTCTTATCATCAAATCTTAACTTCATTTTCGCCAATATGACAGTTATAATTTATTGAATTATACATATTATATTAGTTAATCATTAATTTTTAATAAATTATAACTTTCAAATTGACAAAAATCAACAATTAAAATTTAATGATAAAAAATGATAAATTTAAGAGTAAACACCTTTTTTAGTCCCTGTCAATATCTACGAAGTCCTTTTTAGTCCATGGCAATAAAAAAGGACCAAATTGGTCCCTGAAATTACAAAAAAAGGGCCATGTTAATCCTTATGTCAACTCCCAAATATGTAGAGTGACCCTTTTCTTGTACTTTCAGGGACCAATTTGGTCCTTTTTTATTGCCAGGGACTGAAAAGGACTTCGTAGATATTGTCAGGGACTAAAAAGGGTGTTTACTCTAAATTTAATAGCTTTAATTTTTTTACCTTGAATGTAAATAAGTTATTTATATTCACTTCCAATATGACGTTATTTTGAGTTAAAAAAATTAAAAATTATAAATAAAAATATTATTATAACTCTGAAATAAATTATACTTATAAAAATATTTTGATTTCTGTTTCAAAATTATATTATTTTATACTCAATAAAAATAACTTATTTATATTGACTAAAATAAATAAATCCAAATTTAATTGATGATAAATATAACTTTCCTCAAATAATATTATTTAAACTGTTATCGAGGCTTATATCTTATTCCACGTCCAACTTGTTACACCAAAAAAAAAACGTGACGTGACTTATTTTAATTGATTTGATTACATAGTACAAGTTACAGAACGTCATTTAGGACGTGTTTTGATAAATTTAAAAAAAATAAAATACAATATTTAATTATTTTAGTCTTTAGAGATAACTTATTTTATTTACTTTTTTTTATCTATCTTTATCTATTACTATCTATTATTATTAGATGAGTAAATATTATTTTTGATTCTCAGCAAATTTAACTATACCTATTTTAGTCCCTAGCAAATAAAAAGGCTCATCATGGTCCTTAAGAAATTCAGAATAGACCCCTTTAGTTGAAATCGTGGTCCTCATAAATTCAAAAAAGACACATATTAGTCACTAAAAGGCCTAAAATGAGTCCATTTTAAATTTCTTAGAGACCACGGTAGATTTTTTTATTTGCTAGGGACTAAAGAGGGCATCATGAAATTTGCTGAGGATCAAAAAAGATATTTACTCTTATTAGATTAAAATTTTAATTATTTTAATTATTTCTTTTTTTTTATTATATTCTAATCTAATAAAAAATAGTAAAGTAGGTGAAGATAGAAAAAAAAATTAAGTAGAAGTAGAACAACACATCCATTTTTTTAATATATTTATATAATTATTTAATTTTTCTGTCTTCCCCCTCTGTTTACTCTGCTTCTTGTAGTGGATGGGCGCTGGTCTTGTTTATTTGCAGAATTCACTCCATTCCTAGTCCTCTCGAAGTTGTCATGGAATTCATGCGCGTGGCGTTTTCGTTACTGTTCTTATCTTCAATTTCTTCTCTTCTCGTTTCATGTTCAGCACTCCACGTTCTCCGTAAGGGTTCATCCCTGTCAGTGGAGAAACCAGATGTTCTCCTTTCACAAAACGGTATATTCTCCGCTGGCTTTAACGCCGTCGGTGATAATGCCTACTGCTTTGCCGTCTGGTTCACCCTAAACCCCACCGTCGTTTGGATGGCAAACCGCGACCAACCGGTAAACGGTAAGCGCTCAACACTCTCCCTTCTTAAAACCGGTAATCTTCTTCTAGAAGATGCCGGTGAATTCGTCGTTTGGTCCACGCAAACTTCTTCACCCTCATCCGTGGAGTTGGTTCTTAGCAACACTGGTAACCTTGTTCTACGAGAGACGGGAACTAGCAGAAGCGTCACTTTGTGGCAGAGTTTTGATTTCCCAACAGATACTCTTCTTCCTCAACAACAACTCACCAGGTTTACAAAGCTCATCTCGTCAAGAAGTGATAGTAACCATTCCTCAGGTTTTTATAATATGTTTTTTGACAACGACAATGTTATTAGCCTTCTTTATAATGGCCCTGAAATTTCTAGTATTTATTGGCCGGCTCCTTGGTTGGTGAGCTGGGAAGCAGGAAGGAGTACTTACAATGCAAGTAGGATTGCAGTGCTTGATTCTTTTGGAAATTTCAGTTCATCAGATAATCTTGGTTTCACAACATCTGATTATGGTTCTGTACTTCAAAGAAGATTAACCCTTGATTATGATGGCAATGTCCGAGTCTACAGCCGAAAAAATGGGACAGAGGAGTGGTATGTGTCTTGGCAAGCCATATCAAATCCTTGTACAATTCATGGCATATGTGGTGCTAACAGCACGTGTGCCTATGATCCTGCAGGTTCCGGAAGGAAATGTTCTTGCCTTCCAGGTTATAAACCCACGAATGGTAGTGATTGGTCTCAGGGATGTGAACCCATATACAATTCTCCTTGCAACAAAAGTGATACTGGGTCTTACTTTCTTCGCGTGCCCAATTCTGATTTCTATGGTTATGATTCTGGATTTTTCCCAAATTACACTTTTCACGAATGCTTGAAGCTTTGTCTGCAATCCTGCAACTGCCTAGGCATCCAGTATAAATTTAATACCAGCGGCGGACATTTTAATTGTTACCCAAAAACTATGTTATTAAATGGGTATCGTTCACCAGATTTCCTTGGAGATATCTACTTGAAAGTGCCTGCAGGTTTCCTACAGTTCACTCTGCCTGAAGCATTGTTTGAAGAATCAAATAATACCCTTTGTGATTCCAGCGGAACAATATTGCTAGATAGAACGTATAGAACAAGCTACGAAGATGGAAAACTGAGGCTCCTGCTATGGTTTGCTAGCGCTTCAGGAGTGCTGGAGATGATGTGTATCCTTTTGGTTTGTTGTTTCTTGGTAAGAACTGGAGGACAGTCTGATGCATACGCACAAGGGTACCTTCCCGTAGGCACTGGGTTTAGAAAATATGGTTACTCTGAGCTGAAAAAGGCATCTAGAGGTTTTAGCGAGGAGATTGGAAGAGGCGCTGCAGGGATTGTGTACAAAGGTGAATTGTCAGATCTTCGAGTTGTGGCAATAAAGAGACTTAGAGAAGCTTATCAAGGAGAGGATGAATTTCTTGATGAAATAAGCATCATTGGAAGGCTTAATCACATGAACTTGATCAAAATGTGGGGATATTGCGCGGAGGGCAAGCACAGGCTATTGGTATATGAGTACGTGGAGAAGGGTTCATTGGCTGAAAACCTTGTGTCCAGTGCCCTGGATTTCAATAGAAGGTTTAGCATTGCATTGGGTATGGCAAGAGGTCTAGCCTATTTGCATGAAGAATGCTTGGAGTGGATTTTGCACTGTGATGTAAAGCCTCAAAACATACTTCTGGATTCTAGTTATAAACCTAAGGTAGCAGATTTTGGCCTTTCCAAGCTACTAAACAGAAATGACCCTGACAATTCAAATTTCTCACGCATAAGAGGCACCAGAGGTTACATGGCTCCTGAGTGGGTTTTTAATTTGTCAATCACCTCCAAAGTAGATGTCTATAGCTACGGAATTGTGGTCCTTGAGATGCTGACTGGAAAGAGCCCCACAATGGGAGTTCAAGGAGTTGATGGTACAGAAGCGAAGCAGCACTGGCGGCTGGTTATATGGGTGAGAGAGAAAAGGGCTAATGCATCCTCAAAGGCCTCGTGGTTGAAGCAGATAGTACACCCTTTTATAGGATGGAAATTTAACTCGGATAGATTGGAAATTTTAGTTGAAGTCGCTTTACAATGTGTAGAAGAAGATAAAGATGCAAGGCCAACCATGAGGCAAGTTGTGGAGATGCTACAAAGGCATGAAAATGATTGACACTTTGTTAGCAATGGCATTTGTACAAAAACAGCGAGTTGTTTCCTGGTTTATTGATTATTTGCATAACAACAATTCGTGTCCAACATATAATACTGTTACCGTTTTTTGTAGGATGCTGCTCGGGCTGCTAAACCTCTGTGGTTGCTTTTGAGGCAAATAATTACTAAAATTCACTGTATTTGAGCTGTCTGTATGTATCACCACCTCATTTAGCAGATTCTATAAATGTAAACTTACAAATACTAAGATCTGTAAAATTAATCTGATTAATATGCTCTTTAAGTGGAAGAGTGCACCTTAAAAGCATGATAAGTTGATAACCTATTATAGCATGATCATTTTCTAGAAACTAAACAGGTTCTAGGATTGTGCAGTCGCAAGAGGGAATCTTCCAGTTTCTTTTGAGGCTACCATACAATTGCAAGAATTGCGCGGTAGGTAGAAGTTTTTTCTAGAAGGACGAGGTCGTACAAGAGAGTGACCATTATTCTATAGGTTATATCATTGAAAACTAGAAAACAAATAATATACCAAAAAATTTATGCCATACATACTTTTTTTTTTTGTGGGCATATTATAGTAATCCATTCCACAAGTGCCTTCCCGGTCCTACTTCATTAAAAAGGCCATAATTTTATGTACCAAAAAAAAAAGGCCATAATTTTTAAACAAGACAAAGACAATTAATTATCATGTAGGCCCAAAGAGATAGTTTATAATTCATCAACAACCAATATAAATTGAGGGAGGGTCCAGCCCATATAACTCTAAGGCCCAAACATATTGCCGTCACTCGTCAGTATTATGATTTGAATTTCACTTCTCCGATGAAACATCTTTAACCCAAAAAACTTGAAACTTCATCACAACTTCACAAGACCATCTTATCCACCTGCTTATCCCCTGATGTTTTTCTTCTAAGGTGGTGTTTACTATCATGAAGATTTTTTTTAAAAAAGTAAGGTAATAATAAAAGTTTCACACAATTAGTATAAGAAATAAAAAATAATTCTCAAGTATAAAGGATACTTCAGAACAAAAAATTGTTAATGGGAAGGGAAATTTTTATTCCCATCTGCATAAATGAATAAAAACTTATCGTGTGAATGTTAACATTTTTTTTTTTTTTTTTTGATAACAGAATGTTAACATTTTAACTAGTTAAATTGCTAGATTGTTTCTCCAATTTGTCTTCCTTTACCAGAAACTTCTTCATTACTTCTCATTTATTATTTATTTTTTTGAGTTTTGCTTTGCAATTTTTTTATTGATTCTCATTACGCATTTTCCCATTGCTTCCGCAAGAGATTCTAGTTTCATTGAGTTCTTTGACATTAAAATTTGGATAAAACAGCCTCATCTTAGTATTATCGTTGATTTTTCAAAGGTAAACTACGTTGTCCTTTTTTTAACTTGTATGCAACTTTCTTAATTTTATGTTTTTTATATCAGGGTTTAGGGTGAAAACTTGATAAGCTTTTAAAATGTCAATTCCTCAAGACTCAACATATGCTGCAAATTTAAGGCACATAACGCCGTACAGTAGTATCAATGTCACACATTCGTCCATGTTTTTTGCTTCGACTATCACATGGTAGATGGCTTTTCGAGTAAGCTTGATGGCCTTAAACCCCCAATACCATAACATTTTAACTATAATAACTCTAGTTGCTTTGCTTACAGGCATAGAGAGGGAAGGGGGCGGGGAGGGATCGAGTGTCTATTTCTTGTCCCGAGTTATATAAAAGTCACAGACACATGGCATAAATAGTACCAAAAGTTGTTAAAAAAAAAAAAAAAAAAAAAAAAAAAAACTACGGACTTGGCGTTTTAGAAGATGAGTATTGACAAAAATAGCATAGCCAAAAAAATTGACCAACCTCACTTATTCAAGCATATTATAAGCTAGCCATGCCACTTGCCAAGTTGCTATAGGCAGCAGGGCATGCCAATTCGGAAAACATATTCGATGATAAAATATTTATAGCAATACATTGTAAGGAATATGATTTTTCATATTATATGAGAAAATTTTGTCTCATGCATATAAAAAAAAGTAGAACTTACTAAGAAAAAAAGAGAAAGAAAATAATCAGATTTTATTAACTTTTGAGTATGTACATAAAATAATTTTATCTCATATAATAAATAAATAAGTGTATTCCCTACTTTATATCGCTTGCATAGCTCCAGTGGCCTATGTGGAATTAAGGAGAATACATAAAAGGAGAGAAACTAGCAAACAATAAAATAGTGTTGCGGGAGCTAGTTGGCCTTGATTTTATTATAATTATAACAGCATCACAGCACCTTCAGATTGACCTTAATATGGCGTTCAATGACGCACGATTTCAATTAACCATCGCACTCAAATTTGTTTGACGAAAAATAGTGGGGACCAGCGTTTACCATTGCTTCTAGAATGGAGTCTTTCCCTTCAATCTTATCCCTGTTGGAGGGATGTTTTGGGCACTCAATCGGAAAATATGTTTCTGGTACGCATATAACTGTATGGTCCAAACATATTGCCTCACTCGTCAGTTGATATGAATAGAATTTCACTTTTCCGATGAAACATCTTTAACCCAAAAAAATTGAAACTTCATAACAACTTCACAAGACCATCTTATCCACCTGCTGATAAGGTGGTGTTTACTGTCATGAAGATTTTTTTAAGTGAAAAAGGTATGCCTTGCTTACGTTATGTTTTATTGGTTTAATACAAAAAGTTATTTTTTTTCATATGTAAAGTGAAAAAAAATAACTTTTCGTATTATAATTATGTTTTACTAGTAAGACATAATATAAGATATTAAAAGAACACAAATTATATCCTTTAAAAAGATATCCCTATTACCTTTTTTTAAAAGTAAAGCAATAATAAAAGTTTCACACAATTAGTATAAGAAATAAAAAATTATATCTGACGATGGTAACTCAGTTGGTAGCAAGGGAGTTAAGTAAGTGAAAAAGAAATGTCTCGGTTCAATGCCCACATACAGATTAGTCTCATAGCTGACTACTCAAAGAGTCGAAGCTTGTGGGAATATCGAGGAAAGCCAACTCGCCTCGAAAAAATAATTAGGGTTGAGTTAACTCCAAAAAAAAAAATCATTCTCAAGTATAAAGGATACTTAAGAACAAAAAATTGTTAATGGGATTGGAAATATTTATTCGCATCTGCGTAAATGAATCAAAATTTATCGTGTGAAAGTTAAATTTTAACTATTTAAATTACTAAATTATTTCTCCTACTTGTCTTCCTTTACCAGTACCTTTTTTTTTTTTTTTTAATTTTGCTTTGCAGATTTTTATTGATTATCCTTACACATTTTCCCATTGCTTCCACAGGAGATTCTAGTTTCATTGAGTTCTTTGACATTAAAATTTGGATAAAGCAGCCTCAGCCCTCAGCATACTTTTATTGTTGTTTTTTCAAAGGTAACGACTAAGTTGCCTTTAAAAAAAAAAAAAAAACTTCTGTGAAACATTCTTAATTTTTGTTTTTTTTATGTTACAAAATGATAATGTTTAATGTTATGTTAAATCTCATCACCATTTTTTTTAGTTAATTTGCTAACGTATTGGGTTTGCCATATCCTGATTATATGAAAACTTGGTAATTAAGCTTTTAAAATCTTAGGGCATGTTTGATTGTGTTCTGATTTTTTTGTTCTTAAAACTGTTTTGTAAAATAGTTATGGATTGTTTTCTATCCTTTTTTCTTTTTGAAAGTTAAAAAGCAAAACAGAAAACAAAAACAACTCAGACATGTTCTCTAAATTTGATTTTAAAAACAAAAAAACAGTTATAGTTTTCAAAATATTTTTTAACAGGTATTACCAAACGAGTTTTTTTATTTTTTTTTCCGAAAATTAAAAAACTGTTTTACAAAACATAAATCAAACAGACTCTTAATTCCCCAAAACTCATCCTCATGTTAGTTATTGTTATTTTTTAATAATTATATGAATATCAACTTTATTTTCACTTTATTTTTTATATTTAAAAGATTTATTCATTGTGAACCCTATCACACAATGTGAGCCATAAAGAATCTTTTTTTTTTTTTTTTTTGATAACAACCATAAAGAATCTTTTAAAGTGGTAAGGAATGTTTGTTCCCCTTACTTAGAAGACTCGAGGACTCGAGTTTAAGTTTTGAGAATATAAAAAATGATGAATTGCCTTTTAAAATGAATCTAACAGTGCTCAAATTATATCAATTGGATAATTAATAAACTGATGTATAAAATAAAAATAAAATAAATACTTGACTAGATCAGGAATCAGGATCACCTCATGTGAAATTTTGATATGACCTTATTATGTCTTAGATCGCAACCATCTGTTCATGTATCAATGGTTACTAATTAAAGTAACTTTTCATTGTACGAATCATGATAAATTACAATTGAACCGTAATGGATGGTTGTGATTAGAGGTGACAAAGTGAGCGGCCTACTATTATACGAGACTCCCACATGCGTACTTGTGTGAGCACTTTTCCAATGCTTTTTTTTTTCTTTCTTTATTTGTACCATCAAAAGATAAAGGAAAATTTTTAAAACTCCACCATAAATTTTTTCAAAATCACTTACCTCCTCCTAGAAATATTGAATTATTTACACTTAAACTTGAGTGTTTGAAGTTTTCCCAAAGATAAATTTTAGGGGGCGTTTGGTACACGGAATTCTGCAGGATTTTTGGGAAACTGAATTTTTCTAAATTTTGTATTTTCGAATATTATCGTAAACTGAATGTAAAAATAATATTTTTAAAAATGGAGATTCCCGGATAAAAAAAAAATTATCTTTTACAATAAAATAAGGGATAATAAAAGTAATATCCTTTACCACTATAATTTGATTTAACTTTTATTTAATAATATTTTAAATTTATTCTAGCTATCCGTATAATTATAGAATATCCTTTACAGTATTGAGTATAATACTTTCGGAACATACAAGAACTTAGCTTATAAAAGAGCTTGGAATATCATAAAATAAAATCCGTGTCTAAGCACGAACACACAAGTGGTCGATATGGCTTTGATGGCCTTAGTTTAAACCCTGAATACCATAATATTATAACTCTAGTTGCTTTGCTTACATAGTACAGACATAGAGAGGGGAACTGAGTCATATAAAAGTGAAAGACACGTGGCATAAATAATACAAGTTGTATAAAACTGTGGACTTGGCGGTTTAGAAGAAGGATGGGTCTAAGTGTTGACAAAAATAGCAAGCTAGCTCTCGTGAAAGTCGATCCAAGCAAAAAAATAAAATAAAATGGATGAATGTGTGACATTGTACTACGTACTGTGGCGTTCATAATTTTATCATTCCCCATTTGTCTGGTATGGATTTCATTGCCTAGCCCAAAAACTTGATCAACCTCACTAACTCAAGCATATAATAAGCCATGGCACTTGCCAAGTTGCTATAGGCAGTAGGGCATGCCAATTCTGAAAACAAATTATTTGATAATAAAATGTTTATACCAATACATTGCATTGGTTGCACGCACGGCTCCGATGGATTATGTGGAGTTAGGGGTGCTCGCAGTCTAGTTTGGATTAGTTTTTGAAGCAAGAATCATCTGATCCAATCTCTTCGGTTTGATTATGTAATCATCCATTCGATTTGGATTTTTTTTCAAATCCGATCCGATCCAATCCAATTTTTCTTGGTTTGGATTGGATCGGTTTTCGGTTTTTTGAAAATCCTAAAATTTATTTCCTGATTATTGTGCAAATAACATCTTTTGTATATATTGGCTTTGTAATTTTTTTTTTTGGAAATACAAAAACATTAGTAAAAGATAATATAGTTTTTTTTGGACAATGAGATATGAAAGAAGCTCTACACAAATGAAATTTTGTTGATGAGATGTGATTAGGTTAGGTTTTTTTCTTGGTTTTAGTTGATGGGTCTTGGGTTAAGAAATTTTTGGGCTATGATTGGGGAATGACCCAAGTAGGTAGAGGAGAATTAATATATTGGATCGGTTTGGATTGGATCGGTTTTCATCAACCCATCCGAAAACCAATCCAATCCAATCCAATTAAAATTTGCGGGTTTTTTTCGGTTTGGAGTTTTTCGGTTTCGGTTTTTCGGTTCGGTCTCCGCAGTTTGAATCGGTTTGGATCGGTTGATGAACACCCCTATGTGGAGTTAAGGTAGGGATTAGTATTTATATTATATGAAATAATATTATGTTTTATATATATAAAAATATGTGAGATTTATATATATATATATATATATATATATATATATATATATTTCACATCATCCGACATGGAGTTTATATATTTATATTAAGTATAAAAAATAAAATTATGTCGTATATTATTGATAAAATTAGTCTCATATATAAATAGATAGAAAGGAACTAGTAAACAATAAAATAGTGTGGAAGCTAGTTGGCATTGATTTTATTATAATTATAACATCATCACAGCACCCTCACATTGACCTTAATTTGGCTTCGAATGACCCATGGTTTTCAATGAAACCGCACTCAAATTTGTTTGACGAAAAATAGTAGGGACCCGCGTTTGCTATTGCTTCTCGAATGGAGTCTTTCCCATATATAAATCTTATCCCAGTTGGAGGTTTGGGGCATTCAATCGGAATAATATGTTTCTGGTACACAATATATTTTTTGCAAATCTTTATTGAAAAAGACGAATTTAAGAAAAAATTGGAAGATGAAAAAACAAGTGAATAGTTAAAAGAAAATATCTGTGAGACTAGTATTTTTTTAAATTTTTATTTTTTTTTGCGTTCGATTATTTGGCATGTGCTTCACAGTTACTATTAATTGGTAATAGTCTATTACCAACGAAGTTTTTTTTTTTTAGTAGATATCACCAATGAAGTTTCGTTTCGGCTTTGATGGAATATATAATATGGATATAGCTCTGAAGGAATCACTTAAAAATAACATTGCAACTATTGATTTGAAAAATTAATAATTAAAATTATAAGAATATACGTATATATCTACAAAATAAATTATAAGATAGTTGAAATATATTTTCCTTTTTCATCATTAATTATAAGTTTTCACCTTTTCCCTTAAAATAATTTTATTTTAGTGGAGTTAAATTCACATAACATAATATTCATATATCACTAGAAAAATATAAAAGTCTCTAGGTGATAAAGTATAGCTATAGGCACAGTTCATTCGATATCTAACTATAGGGAACTCTGGTAAAGAAATAATCCTTCTATAATTTAGTGTAATTTATATGGATAGTTGAAAGAAAACATGCATAACTATGTTGATTAGACTCTTAAATATTAAATTCTTAATAGATTGTGTGTTTTCATTAGGATCTAACGTTGTTTCTTTTAAAGATGAAGAAATTTACCAATCTTTTTATGAGACTTACCAAGGATCACCACCGAATGATAGAAGAGCTACGAACAATAAATATCCATTTAAAAATGAAATGAGAAAATCATATATAAGTTTTGGGGTTCATAAAGAACTTATATCGTGATGGGTTTCGATAATTTATATCAAGTTATGTGTTCAATTTTTATTGTGATAAAAAAAAAACTTAATTCTTAGTTTAAGATAATATTTTCATCAGAAACAATAGTATATATAATCAAACAATTAATTTTTTTTAACACATCAAGAAGAAGAAGAAGAAAACCCCTATCTACCCCCCAGTGTAAATACAAAACAAGGATGATGAAGGGGAAAAAAAAAAGATATAACTAACGAGGGGAGACTCTATCATTATCATGGGACTGAAGCATCTCAGCCACTTGGCTCATGGACGGTCTTTCATTCATGTCATCTTTCACACATTGCAAAGCCACTTTAACCAAAATCTCAACCTGCGAAATGACGTATCGGCCCTCCAAGTTGGGATCTACAATCTCCTCAATCCAAAACTTGCTTGTGGGTGCACTGTTTATCTTGTCAGTCACCCACGTCAGTAACCGACGCTGCTCTATGCCGTTACTGTTCTCAAGGCTGTGGATTTCCATAGGGCTCTTTCCAGTTACCATTTCCAACACAACAACCCCATAGCTATAAACGTCTACTTTAGAAGTAATGCGAAGATTGTAAACCCACTCGGGAGCCATGTAACCCCGAGTTCCTCTTATTCTTGAAAAAGCAGAACTGCCTGCACGCTCATCTCTATTTAAAAGTTTTGACAAGCCAAAATCAGCTACCTTGGGTTGAAAATCAGAGTCGAGGAGAATGTTTTGAGGCTTCACATCGCAATGTAAAACCCATTCCAAGCACTCTTCGTGTAAATAAGCCAGACCTTTCGCTGTACCTACAGCTATATTAAACCTCTTCTTCCAATCAAGGGTATTGGAATAGAGATTCTCTGCTAAAGATCCATGCTCCATAAACTCATACACCAAGAGCCTGTGCTTCCCGTCGACACAGTATCCCCACATATCAATCAAATTCATGTGGTTCAACATGCCAATGGTGCTTATTTCTGCTAGGAATTCAGCTTCTCCTTGATTAGCTTCACCCAGACGTTTGATCGCAGCAACACGGTGATCATATAATGTCCCTTTGTACACAACCCCTCCCGCTCCTCGCCCAATCTCCTCACTGAATCCCTTTGACGCACTTTTGAGCTCTGCATACGTGAACCTTTGAAATCCTGTAGCAGAAAGAAGGTGCCTCTGTTGATCTTCTAAATCAGGTCGCTTGTTGGTTCTAAACAAGAAGAACCACACAAGGAAAATCATGGACATCTCAAAAGCCCCAATCCCGCAAGCGAACCAAACCAAGAAATTCAATGTGGAGTTTCTTCTAGGTTTCTGATAAAATCTATTCAGTCGTTGAGACAAACCAACCGAACACTTCAACGGTGCATGCTTATTAAAAGGCTTGTTGGAAGAGAGCAGAGTCGCTTTTGGCAACTTTAGATAGGTCTCTCCATCAAAATTGGGCGAATCCCTACCGTTGAGCAGTATTGTTTTTGGGTAACAATTATAAGTACCGATGCCGTTGAATTTGAGTTGGATGCCTTTGCAGTTATCACAAAGTTCCAAGCATAAATTTTGGCATTCCTTCAAGCTTGAAACGGCTGTTACGTTCCAATCATAGCCGTATAATTCCGTGTTTAGAATATGGAGGAAACCTAAAGATTCACTTCGATTGCAAGAGAGATCAGCAGGGTTAAATTCAGGCTCACACCCCAGTGTCCAATCGTTTGGATTCTTAACCTTAAATCCTTGCAGGCAATAGCAAGTCCTGCCATAAACGGGATCATAAGTGCACATGCTGTTAGCTCCACAAAGACCATGAACAGTACATGGTTGTGAAATGGCTTGCCATGATACCTCCCACATCTTGTGGTTCTCATTGAAGCTGTAGAGACGCAAGTTACCGTCAGCATCCATCGTGAGTCGTCTATACAATTTCATGCCATAATCGGTGGAAAAGATTTGGAACCCATCAGAGGATGTGAAATGGCCAAATGAATCTAGGACAGCGATTTTTGTTACATTGTAGGTGGATCTCTGTGCATCAACCGGAAGTTTCCACGGTTCTGGCCAGTACACGCTGGATAGTGTAGAACCTTTGAAAAGAAAGCGCAGAACATTATCGTTGTCAAAATAAAGTTTATAGAAACCGGAGGAATAGTTCGTTGTGCTTCTTGATGAAACCAAGCTTGCTTGCTCTGTAACTGCTTGGCCAGGAAGAATGGTGTCTGTGGGAGAGTCAAAGCTTTGCCAACGGACAGTGCCTTGTAAAGTGCCAAGGATGAGGTTTCCGTTGTCCATGAGCTTCAGCTGCGATTGGGAGAAGACGGTGGCGGTGCTCCAAATAGTGGTTCTTCCTGCATCGAACAAAACGAGATTGCCATTTCTCCAAAGTGATAATTCTGAGTATTTCCCGTTGACTGGTTCGTCTCGATTCGCCATCCAAATAACGGTGGGTTCTTTGGACCTTGTGAACCATACGGAAAAGCAGAAAGCGTTATCCCCCACTTGGAAGAAACCTGCCGAGAAGTCACCATTGGCTGAAACCAGGGTGTCACTTGGTTTCTCAACCGAAAGAGATGAGCCTTCTGGAAGTGTATCCGTCGCTGCAAATGAAGATGGGGAAATCAAGAGGACCAAGAGGAAGACTAGGATGTGCATTGCTAGCAATGAATTAGATTGGTTTCCACAAAATCGCAAGCACGTATATAAATATATATTGGATATATGGTCAGTTCAAACCTCATGGGGTTTAATTAATAATTAATGATGGCTTGCCGCGGTTTTCTTCTTTTTCTTATTATTATTTCTTCATTTGGTAAGATTACCGCGGATTCGGACTCTCAGCGTAATCATCAATTATTATTATTTATTTTCAAAGCTCACAGGTATGAAATCATTTTAATATTATGATTTATTATTGTATACATTTATCTTCTTCTTTTTTTTGGTAAAAAAAATTATCTTAAAATATACACAACATTGAACAGAACGAATACCATTAATATTTTCATCACAAGGCAAGTTAGCGTTTTAATCCTTAATGATACTGGGCGCTAGCGTCAAACTGGACCGGGCCGGTCTACAAGGGCCCACGACTCGGCTTATATCAGGTTATACTTGACCTAGTATAATTTGTATAATAGGTCGGGTTTGGGTCATAGAAAAGTCTGTTTAATAAAAAAATCGTAGGCCCACTTTCAAAAGGTCGGACCTATAAACTTACAGGCCGGCCTATATTGTACTATTTATTTTAAATAAAATAAAATAGAATAAGTATGCCTTGAAGAAAAAACAAAAGATATAAATTTAATCAATTGCAATTATTTATAACTTAATTATATTCGATTATATTTTAATAAAAATCTTACTTTATTTCTTATATAGGAGGAATCAACATCTCAACATGTTTGATTGTGTATATGAATATATTAAAAGATTTTTGAGAAATGTTATACTTATTACAATCATCATGATGTGTTTGTTGAATTCATGTAGTTATTTTAATTTACATAGTATGGATTTGTTTGTTGGATCTGATGAAATATATATTATTTAGTTTGAGCATTTTGTCTTTGAAAATGAATTAAATGCATATTGTATGAGTTTTGTTATAATTCATGATTCTGTTTAGACGTTAAAATTATGATTTTTGCTGTAACAACAGAATTTGAGTACTTTCTAAAGTTGTAAAGTTGATTCATGGTTCTGCATGGAAGTTAAAAATTAACAGGCTAACGGGACAAGTCAGACCATTTATTTTTTTATAAATTGGTTAAGTCAGGCTAACAGTTAGACTCATACTAGGCTTGGGTCAGGCCAAATTAAAATTTTTTGACGTAGACTTGAACTTTTTGAAACAAAGCTTGGCCCAATCCAGCCCACTTTCAGCCCACTTTCACCCCTATTGGGCGGGATCGGCTTGAGTTATAACACACCCCTACTCGTTATGATGCCAAGCCTATTGTTGAGCTTAAAGTAAACAAATAAATGTAAATCATAAAAGAAATATTAATAAAAAATATATATAACCATTTGAAAAAAAAAAATATTAATAAGGTGACTTCATGATCCCCCACAAAAGTGAATCCCAAATCTTCAGCTAACAGTAGTTAAATTGCTTAGCGTTTGATTATTTTTCATTTAAAAAAAGAAGAATTTAATTTATCACTCGATTTTTGTAGACGGGGTGTTTGTGTGCATTACATTAATTATTGGATTTAAAGTTTTTAAAATTATTTAAGATAATTTTATTTAATATTTATCAAAATACATATATAAAAATATGTGAGGCCTATTTTTTTTTATTTTTTTTTTCATATGGGTCCATATGAACTTCACACACTTTTTTGTATGTATTTTAGTGAATATTAGATAAATGTTTCTAAAATAACTTTACAAATTTTAAACCCCCAATTTTTTAACAAGCCAAAGTACTTTTTGTTAGTTTGTACTTACATGATTACATTTACACTGGCGTTTATATTTGCGTGAAAAAACATAATTGACTAACTTGTAAATTGTAAAAACCATGTCTTTTTTTATAAAAAGAAAAAAGAAAAACGTAAAAACCATGTCTTAGTTTTATGTGAACTAATTTATCATTCAAATGCAATAAATTTTGTAAATACCAAACCAAATATTAAAATTGGTAAGACTTACGAGAGTTCCAGTTCAAGCGTAACTAGTTAATTGATTGGTTGAACTATCAATTTAGATCCAAAAAATTCTGGTTTTGTTTGAATGATTTTTAAAATTTAGATCCAAAAACTTATATAATTTAAATAATTTTTTTAATTTTCAGCTCGATATATTCTTTTTAAATTATATGTGTTGGATTTCAAATACGGTTAATATCGTCAAATAATATACTATTAAACTTTTTATGTATATCAAAAGATTACGAGAGGCATAAGGAACGTGATAATTTGACGTCATCCTCATCTTTCTCTAGCTTATTATTGACAATCTGCTCGAATATTCAATGAATGAAATTAATATATAAATAAAATATAATGAAATAGAACCACTTAAACTTCTTAAATTCGTTCAATATTGAACTTGGACATATATCATAGTTCCAAATCTCCTTAAACGAATTGGAAATTGATACAGCACCACTGTCGTTGGTACATCTGGGGTGAATCTTCAGTATCACACCCTCGTTGGTACATCTTTTTCCAAATTGGCAGGCCAAGGATTAAAATGGTATGAAAATTTACTAATTTTGAAAAAAGAGAGTGTGTCATAAAGCATAGACTACAATTGAAAGACAAACGTTAATTTATATAGAAAAAAAGTTTGAATAAATCGCACTTTAGCTATTTTCGTTTTTTGTCCAAACAGAACCAGCACGTGGTCAATAAGCAACGTAGAACTTAGTTGACGAATTATTGTCCACATTATAAAAAGTGTAAATGTTGAGGCCCAAAACACGCTTACCGGTCGTTTGGTACACGGATTTTTTTTTGATTTTTGAGAAACTGAAATTTTTAAAATTTTAAATTTTTCAGATATTATCGTAAACTGAATGTAAAAATTATATTTTTAAAAATTGAGATTTTCGGACAAATAGAAATTTCTCCCATATCAAACATCCCCTAAAGCCTGAGCTATTTCCGTTTTTTGTCGTATATTCCAAACAGAACCAGCACGTGGTCAATAAGCAACGTAGAACCTAGTTGACGAATTATTGTCCGCATTATAAAAAGTGTAAATGTTGAGGCCCAATACACGCTTACCTAAAAGGCCTACTGAAAAAGAATATTCGTTGAGCTACATGTGAGCCTTTTCTTAAGTACAACGGAGATGGAAGACTGAAGAATACTATCTGGTTTTAGTATCCGTGTCTTTTGAAGAGGCTTGGTAATTTGTCTCTTACATGCAGGAATTTAACCCGACCCACCTTGAATGGAACAAAACTTGTTGGGTGAGGTTGGGTGGGTGTTAGTTCAGAATGAATTTCTCCATCCTCATGGGAGACTCTTTTTAAAGAATATTATGTACAATTTAATTATAAATAAAGTCAATAAGAAAGGTTATACTTACAATTATATTTTAGCTGTTGATTTTCATCAATCTAACTGTTATAATTTATTAAGTCATATTTATTAATTAATTATTATTTTTTAATAAATTATAACCGTCAAATTAGCAAAAATCAAAGAAATAAATTATAAACGAAAATAGAGTATAAGTATATCATTTTTCATATTATATATATAGGGATAGGTTATTCTACCTATCTTTTTTCTGTCTACTTTTGTCCACTACTCTAAAACACCGTTAGATCATAATCTTAATTAACATTTATTTTTCTCTCTATTCTTTAAATTCTGATCCAACAGTGTTTTAGAATAGTAGGCAATGGTAGACAGAAAAAAAAAATATAAGTAGAATAACTTATCCCATATATATAAAAAGAGGTAGTAAATATAACTACCATCGGCTTTTTGACCACTATAGCCTTTTTTTAATAATTAATTACCAAATTAACCCTATTTTTAAACTATTTCAAAAATTTAACCTCTTCAGAAAACATAACACCAATCTGCCCCTGTTTGATCGTTGACCATGAAGCCTACCCGGGTACACCCCTACCTACCCGAGTATATTTTGAAAATTTTTACCTACCCGGGTACACTCCTCCCTACCCGGGTATATTTCTTGAATCTGAAATTTTTTTGAATTATGTACCCAGGTAGATAGGGGTGTACCCGGGTAAATAATCATAACCTGTTGAGTGGTAAAGTACAACACATATGCTTTATTGCATTCAGTTTCCGGGTTAATTTCTTTTTGCAATTTCTTAAACATCAGATCTACAGGTGGAAGAGGAAAGCTTGTGGCGTAACCCTTGATCCACGAAATCGGTGATGGGTTGGCGAAGTGGTGAACGAGTGTTCGGGCATGGTTAGGTTCTTGAAGGGAGAGAGGGAACAAGTAAAGAGCACATCTTTGGTGTTTCTTATAGAGCGTTATATCCAAAATGCCAATCTCACAGATGACTAATTATAGTAAAATAGATAGGTTAATGATCAAATTTCTTCGAGGGGACACTGTGAGTAGGGGTGTTAACAATTGACTCGTTTATATTTACATGCTTCATTCTACTGATATACATATAATTGTTTGAATAGCTTCCTGGACAATCTCGGAACACAGCGAGTCCAACAAGCTTCAAAGTGAGAAACCAACATGTATAGTTCTGCACCACATAGATGGAATACAAAGTAATATCTGTATTCTCGAAATTTACCCGGGTACACCCCTCTCTACCCGGGTAAATAATTCAAGCAATTTCTCAAGTGCGAAGAACAATACCCGGGTACACTCCTCCCTACCCGGGTAGACAAAAATTTTCAAAAAATACCCGGGTAGGCTTGGTGGTCAACGGTCAAACAAGGGCAGATTGGTGTTATGTTTTTTGAGGGGGTTAAATTTTTGAAATAGTTTATAATCAAGGTCAAATCGGTAATTAATTAATAATAAAGAGTTATAAGGGTAAAAAAACCCAACTACCCTCGTATTTATAATTTACACATTATTTTTATTTATTCAAGAAGCTACGTGAGTTAAGACTTAAAAAAGAACTCACATAAAATGGGTCTGATAAGTTAAAATCAAGGATGGGGCTTGAGGAATAACCCACGGAATTGGGGCCATTTTGACAGGTGTACAAGTATAGAAGTAAGACCGAGTTCTTCGTCGTTAAAGTTAGGCTGTGTGTTTTGTTGTGGAAGCTGCAAAAGAAAAAAGAAAAAAAAAAGAACTTGCAGCAGTCAAATGTCTTTTTTCGCGAAGAGTAACAGCCTGACATAGAGTTCGATGAGCATTGGAAAGAGCAGCTGATAAGCAATTTTATTGCCACTCCTAGAATTCAGTATTTTCTATTCTTTACCATAATGGCACACTGAAATCATTTCAATATTTTTATGACATATTTATATTAGTTATTATACTAATAAAAACTTGGCGTATCCTTAGAAAAAATTGTGGTGACGGTTCTCTCGCAGATGGATCAATCCGTTAAGTCGGTTCAATCCGTAGACTTTGGTGGTTGGTTGGCCTTAAAATTCAAGCGAAATGGATCATTCATGGTCATATCTGATTATAATTCCCATGATCATGTCATATTAAAAAAAACCATGAGAAAATTCACTCTCAAATTCATGCCTCACAGTGGTCCGAGTTTATCAAATGCTTTAAATTCCTTGGCATACTCGACCACTCTCGCCCAGCAAGTTTCTATTGCAGAACAAAATCTTTCTCCTTCTCTCAGAGAGGAAAAAGGGGAACAGCTAACAACTTGGACTATACATTCCTCAGTTATTAGGCACTGTATTCGTTCCTACTATAGTTATTTATCGTTACTTCCTTACTTAATAATGTTAACATATCCTAAATAAAAAAATAAGTCCAGGCTGTCCAATCTCTGCCACAAACAGAAACCATTGTTTTTTTGTCTCCATTTTCGCTCTCATTTGAGATTGGATTTGAAATGCTCGCTTTCTGAAACTCCCTTATACTCATCTGTGCAGTACAAAAATTATCATCACATTTTTTCTTCTTTGGTGTAAAGGAAAGGGGAATTGAACTAATGAAAAAAAGTGAAACAAAGACCATTTGTCTACTCTGCAATTCATACTCTAGTTTGGCTTCGGTGGTCTACTCGACCCTGCCAATTCTCATACGCTTGACCACAGCGTTTCTAATGTCTTCGGTCTGCATACACAAACCATTATGCTCAACTCCAGACATGTAATTCGTCACTTCCATTCGAATCATCTCTTGCATCAACGCCAAGAACTCCGCGCTGGACAACTGCTTCTCGTAACTAAATTTCTCGCCCTCCTGACTTCTCTGCGCTGGCTGGATCTCCTGGTTAAGCCCAGACCCGCAGGAATCGGATCCGGGCAGAGATAAGCTGAGTGACGTGGGTGGATCAGGGGCCGAAGAAGCAGTTTCCAAAGGATGGGTTGAAGGAGAGGGAAACAGGGTTACACTCCTCGCAAGCGGTCTTAAAACCTCCGTCGGAGTCGGAGACATAACGTGTAAACTTGAATCGCTCAAATCGGATCCGGATGGGCTGTTCGGAGTCAAGTACAAACCCGAGACAGTGCCCGCACCGGTACTGGCGGATCTTTTGAGAGGCTGGTGGTCAGTGTGAGCATCGTTGATGACGGAGCATTTCCTCTTGAGGGTGGAATTCCAGTGGTTCTTAATGGCGTTGTCGGTGCGGCCATTGAGAAGGCGAGATATGGTGGCCCACTTGTTACCAAACCTTGCATGCGCTCTGATGATAGCGTCGTCTTCCTCCGTAGTGAAAGGCCTGTGTTCTACCTCCGGGGACAGCTGGTTGCACCACCGCAACCGGCATGACTTCCCGGATCGTCCCGGAATTGATTTGCTGATCAGAGACCAGTTTCTAGGCCCGTAAGTCTGAACCAGCTTCTTCAAAGCCTCGTCCTCTTCGAGGCTCCATGGACCTTTAATCCGATCCATGTCTTTCTTTGCAGAAGCCATGGAATTAATGTTAAGTCAAGAAACTAGTAAATCTGTGCAACTAACCTCCTCCTCTTCTAACGAACCAAAACGAAAACTATATAATAGATATTAAAAAAACAAAAAGAATTATAATACAGTGTTGCGGAGGCTGGGGGTGCCTCGCCTCTGCTATGAGACTCAGAGAGAAGGGTGAAGGTTGAGAGGTAGAGGGAGTATATATATATATATATACGACAGAGGGAAAGCGATAAGGATGACCTGTTGAGCCGGTGACAGCAACCGGTCGGTTGGATTGGGAGTGGAGGATTTTTAATGTTTTATGGGTAAGGCAGTTACTAGTATACAGCTGTCAAATTGACACCTGTGCAGTGAGAGTCCCTCAGTATTACACGTAAGTTCAGTTCACGCTCTCGGCGCGCCCATTATGGACTCCTCCAACTCAAATATCACAAATCAACCACTCAACTAACCCTAATCTACATGACCTCGGGTGATACATATTTGGGACCAAATCCGCTGAAAAATCTGCCACTAATAAATTATCAACGTACGGATAAATATCTATTCTTTGACTGTGACGATTCATCAATTAAATTTGGGGAAATGTGTATCATTTTAAATGATACAAGGTTGTGTCATCTTGAGAGAAAGAGATAAATTATAAAGGAGAGAATGGGTGGAAAAAGTTTTAAAAATGTGTGTTCCACATCTTTGTGAGAATGAAAGGATGTGCTATTTTAAATAACACACCTTTTTTTCCATTAAATTACTATATTTTAAAAGAAAACAAAACTGACTCTAACGTTTTTGATTAAGCCATACAAAATTAGGATTAATTTTTTCTTTTACAAAAAATAAAATTATTTTCTACATATATGTAAAAGTATTTATATTTAATTTTATTTTTCTTTTATTCATATGGCCCTACATAAACTTCACATATTTTTATATATGTGAAAGATAAATCATCTTTTATAATATGATAAATATTGATCTCAACAAATTATTACTGTGATAATTTTAAAATCGAGGTCCAGCCTAAAGGATAACCTCTATTTAAAAAAAATATTATAAAACAGGAACAACCTTTTATTTTTTTTTGAATTTTTTCAAAGTATCCTAAATTGACGGTCGAAGACTAGTTTTTTAAAGAGTAAAGATTACCGAAGTGGATTGTCCCCCCCTACTAATAATGTATTTTTTTACATGTGGTCAGGGATCCTGTCAACATACTTTGGGCCATTTGGTACGAGTCATTTTTTAAGATTTATGGAAAACTGAATTTTTCTAAATTTTTAATTTTCAGATATTATCGTAAATTGAATGTAAAAATTATATTTTTAAAAATTGAGATTCACGGATAAAAAAAAAATTCCTCTACTAAACACTCCAAGAAATCCAATTATCTACTAGTATTTTTCTATTTTTTTTTTTGGATAACCTAAACAGGATAACCGCTATTTATTACTAAATTTATGCAACTTTCCAAAGCTTTAACAAACTCCCGTTCGCAAATTCTTTCTTCCTCAAATATTTGGAATTTCAATCTGTAACGAAAAGAATGCGGAAATCTAAATTCTGTTATAAAAAATAAAACTTAAGTTGTGATTAGATGTTAATGAATTGTTAATGTATTAATGAATAATTAAATTTTGAATTATTTATAATAAATTAAATATTTAAATTTTAAATTACGTTTTAACGTATGTTCTCTAACTTTGAACTGCAAGTAATAAGATAGTAATGCAAATTTATATTTTTTAATTTTTTATAATAAATTATTGTGCCTGATAGATGAAAAAAAATGACAAGTACAGGCTGAAACTGTCATTTAACATAACTTTACAAACCCATAATGAAAATTTATATTTTTTATAATAGTTTATTGCGCCTGATAGATGGGAAAAAAATGACAAGTACAGTCTGAAACCGTCACTTAACATAATTTTACAAGAGGAAACGTATTTTTACTATTAAAAATATATATTACCTACTTAATTACAATTAAATCATAAAGAAACAATGTTGAAAACTTTTTAAAAAGAGATAGTGGAACTTTTTTATAGTAAGAATATATCGCTCATTTTTTCAAAGAGATTTATTATTTTTGTTATATATGAAAGAATTTATTTCATACAAATATAAATTTAAGATGAGTCTTATTTTATTTTATTTTCTCTCCTCCTGAAAGTGGATCCCACCTATATAAATGACTCTATATGAGATAATAGCTATCTTCCACCGCATAAGAAAATTATTACCCTTTTACAAACCCATATGTCATTTTATACAAAATAAATTAAGATTTTAATTGACTATAGCAATGGTTTGAGTTCAATAAGCAAAGAATAATACAGGTTTATGCATTCACTTTATAAATAAAAGTTTATTTTCTGATAAGGGGTGTAAATGGGCTGAGCTAGCCTAGCATGGTCTTTGACTTAAATAGGTTATACATGTATAAAATACTTTGGATGACCTGGTATGTTAGCCTTGTGTAACTCAAATTATAATTATAGTGTGACCTATATTTAAAAATTAAAAACATTGACTCAGGCCTATTATCATGTTTAAGCCTATTAGGCATTCAATAATTAATTTTTTAAAAAATAATATTAATTTATTATTCAAAATTATAAAAAAAATAAATTCATTTATTTAATTTAAAATAAATAATATGATATAGGTCGGCCTATAGCCTATAGGCCCGACATGTAAAAGAAAGCTTATGGCTTGCTTTCTAAATAGACATTTTTTTTAGGTTTGGGTCTACTCTGTTTGACTATATATAATAGGCCGAATTTGGCCTGCCGTAGGCCCGCGTTAGACCAACTAACTCATTTATACCTCTACTTATGACCCAAACAAAGGGAGAAGCACCCAGGAGTGGATCGAGGGAGGGGCTAGCATTGGTGGCCGCCCCTCCATAAACTTTAATTTATTTAGTATTTTATATATAAAATAATATTTTTTTAATAATAATAGACTATTAGTACTAATAGTTAGCCCCAAAAAACATTTATAATAATTAGTATAGTTCAAGGGTTTGATGTTTGTCATTTTAAATGATACAAGTTATGTTATTTTAGGAAAGAGATATACACAAAAAATAAAAATCATGTGAGAGAGAGTGGTTGATTTTTTTTTTAATTTAAATTTCAAATAAAAAATATTATTTGTCTATATTTCTCTTAAAAGGATATAATTTTATGTCATTTAAAATGACAAATACTTTTTCCATATTTTATTAGTCTTAATAATACTTATGATTTTAAGATTTTATTTTCTCCCCCAATTATAAAAATCCTGGGTCCACCAATGGAAGTACTTCGAAAAAATTTATAACACATTACTAAAAATAGAAAAAGAGGAGGCCATTTTTTAAACTCCAACTCAATCAGAATTAAAGTGAGACGCATTCAAAATAAATTTGATATAAGAGGGGAGGGGGGGGGGGACTAGGTTTTTGTTCGGGCATGAATGTTAGAAAAATGATATTAAAATCATTAAGAGGATAATATGTGTTCAATAAATTGATTCAATAATACATGAAGTTTCATACCGTGCACACAAGAATTAAAAAATAAAATAATTCAAAGTTAAAGTGTATCATATGTTCTCTATGTTCAATAAATTGATTAAATAATACGTGAAGTTTCATGCAGGCACACAAAAAATCAAAAATGAAATAATACAAAGTTAAAGTGCACCATATGAAAACATATAATAGCAAAAATAAAAAATTCGAGCTCAGTGTTAGACATTATTTTCTTAAAACAATATTATTCTTTCTATAGTGCTCAAGATTCATGAAAAATTGTCTCTCAAGATAGAATACATTGCCTCTATTCTTATGACGGTACTTTTACATAAAATGATCTTATCAAACTCAACTTATGTCTGATTCATTGCACTGAAGTAGAAATATGCAAAATGTAAAAGAATATATAAAGGTAAAAATCAAAGTTTTAGTTTTGTTGTTATAGTGACTCTTTAAAGTTGTTTGTAATTAAATCTAAAACAATTATTTTAAAAATAAGAGAATAAAAAAACTTTGATTAAAAATTGTGTTTTGATAATTTTATTGTAGATTTTAGTTATTGAAATATCATTAGTAAACTTTTATAATTATAAGACTGGCACAGCAAAGTACTTTAAAATAAAAAAATAATTTTTTTTAAATTAACATTAATCAAGTCGTCATTACAAAAATAATAAAATTAAGAAATATTTTTTATGAATGGATCAAAGATGTTTATAAATTTTAATTTTAGAAACTAAAAAATAGGTACTATTTTGAAAGTCATTTTCACAATATTACCATTATCAAACGATATTTTTTATTTTTTATTCTAAAATTAAAAAACTTTTTTCGCAATAAAAATCAATCAGGGCAAAGTTTTGGAAACATTCATTATTTTTGTTTATAATAAGTTGTTTTTCAACAAAAATGGAAATCATAAGCACCCATGAGCTTTAGCCAGAGTTAGCAAGTGGAAAAGTAAGTCCATATGAATTTTTACCATGACAGCCTGGACAACATTTGGTAGTTACTGGCCAGGAACTAAAAATGCAAGGTAGCCATTATTTTGTATTTATTTCTTTTTATTATAATTTTTTTGAGTATAGAAAAAGTGAAAGAAGACAAATGAAGTGCTGAGCAACTAAACGACAAAAGAGTAGCATAATGGGAGATGAATGAATGATACTAATATTTTGTGCCTAAAATCTAGGCTGTCATCACCCTAAACTCGCAAAGCCAATACCAACGGTCTACTTCCCTTATTATATTGGTCACTCCACCTCCTGTGCCTTCAAATTTGGATATCTTTTTGTTTCAAAATAAAAATGAAAATAAATAAATATATATATATATATATATATATATATATATATATAGTCCTAAAAAAGTTATTTTGACTTTTGAGTTTGATATATTTCTTAAAAACACTCTATTACATCCCTATAATATTTAGAAATTGTAAGACGAATTATATACTTTATTAAAATAAACTAATATATCTTTATTAATTTTTTCTCTGCTAAACTCTAGATTGTGTATTTGTATATATAAATGAGTAATAACTTCGTAATAAATTTAAATTAATGGATATATTATTTTGAGATTATATAAATGATTTCTTTCGTAATGACCC